AACACTTCGGCCCAAGCCCCGCCCCCCATGCCCCTGTACTTGGCGGGGTCGGCCAGCGCGCGGGGGTGGGTGCGCCCCGCCTCCTCAGCACGCGCCACCTCCCGCGGCCAGCGCGGCGCCAGCCCCAGCTCGTGCCTGAGGGCGTCGGAGTCCCACAGCTCTGCCGGCCCGGCTTTGCTCTCGGCCCGCCGGGGCTCGGAAGAGAGGTTGCCAGGTGAGCTTGTAGCGCGCAGAGGTCAAGCCTGCCAGCTGTCCCCCAAGACCCGCGCGCCTTTACTCCGGGTATCCCCACTCTTGGGGGCGAGGTGGTTAACGCGGGACATTTTCGCAGTTTACAACGTGGCCTTCACGGAGGAAAGGCGGTGTCGAGTGCCCTTAGGGAAAGGGTGCTTACCACTTTTTCTTTTAAAGGGACTGAGACTGGTTTCTCCCCCGCGCGCCAAGTCTCCGTTGAAATCTTTATGTTAATGAGCGTATTAGCATTGCAGATGATGGATGCGGCCTACCCAGGCCACAAGGGCCCGGCCGGGCACCAATCGGAGAGGAAGGCTAAGGGGAGGTCGGAATGTTTGCATACCTTTTCACGTCTGAGGAAGTCTTGGCTTTAACCCTATTCACTGCCAACCTGGCCCAGCGAACTGTGGGAACTATTAAAGCCTAAGATTGTGGGAGCTGACAAGGCTCCGTTTAATTCAGGGCCCTCATTTTACAGATGGAGAAACTGAGGCTCAGAGGAACGCCACACAGGGACCCCCGATACCAATTCCCCAACCTTGGTCACGTAATGATGTCATTTCCACTGGTTTTTTTCTTTGCAGCTTCAGATCATCCTGTCCTCAGAAAGGAGGAAACTGAGGCAGAAGGAGAGATATAGCTTGTTCAGTGTAGCTTTTCCTGGGGTTTACACCCAGGGGAGGCAGTGTGCTCCAGAAAGAGCTGCCTGAAAATGAGGTAGTTGCCACTAGGGCTTCGTTGAATTGGGCTAGGCAAGCCCCAGAATATGGCTTAACCCCAAGATGTGGGTACCTAAGAGCTGAGACATTCTGTAAGAATGCTGACTTATTAAAATGATAGCCCATTTGCTACCTGTATATTATAGATGTCACCTGTGCTCTTGGAAAGTCTGTTTTTCTTGTCCTTAGGAAGAGTGGGCCCTGTTAGGGCAGGCTGCAAGGCCAAAGGCTCTGTTGGCCAGGACACAGCCTTGGCCACGCTGGAGCTGGAGGTCAGCTCTCCTTCTGAAATTCAAACAGAGAACTGTTGCCTCTTCCTCTTGAACCCACCAAGACTCATGCCTAAGGTTACAGTGGAGAAGTGTGAGAACCTAAGCTCCAGCTTGGGTCTTAATCTGAAACTAGTGCACTGATCACGCAACCACACACAGTGATGTAGTAGAATTGACTTCAAACTGACCCTTCAGGATCAAGCTATTTGCCGTTTTCCTCTTTGGTCAAACAAGACTATCATCCTGTATGGGCCAATTAAATTTTCCAAACCCCCTATGTGACCTCCACAGTCACAGACATCAACACAACCACATAGCCTTTTCATTGCCTGAGATCCACTTATTTATCATTTCACAAGTAATGATCTAAAACGTGTGCATGTCAGTCTGTGTGCATGTCTGTCTGTGTGCATGCACGCTTTGTGTGTCTTGAAGGATGGTGGAACGACCAGAGGTTGACTTGTGCTAAGATGTTTATTTTCAGTATCCTTAGACTTAAATATCTCAAATTACCCTTTAAATCACTCTTCTGCTGTGGAAACACTTAATTACCCTACGTGGAGGAGAAGTCCAAATAGAAACCCTGAAAGGCAAGGACGTCTTCATTGGAAGCCCCACCTTTCAACCACCCACAAATCCTCTCCTGCTCCCTCCCTTCTGATGTCTGTTCCCAGTCTCCTGAAGGTAGAGCAGCCAGATCCTGGCAACACGCCAGGTCACCTGGGACAAAAAAGTCTTCTCCAGGATCCAGAATCCTGTTCTCCCCATGTGGGTTGCACATGGAAGGGTTACCTCTGCCTTTTCTAAAGGTTTGGAAAGAGAAGTTATGTTTCACCACTTTTTTCCATTTCACTTGCAGCCGGCCATAGAGTCAGACCCGCTTTCTCACGTGATGCCTTTGCCGGGGGTATAATTTGTAAACCAGAATTATTATAATGCTATAGCATTATGCCAAGTACTTCCAGAGCATTTGCGTATCTTTGCAACCCCCAAATGCTCTGTATATAATTAACCCTCCACAGCATGCCTGCAATCTGGTGTTGTTCCCAGTTTGCAGAGGGTAACTGGCCCAAGGTGGTGTTTACTTCAAGCAGACAAAAAAGCACATGGGTGTTTTCCTTTGGGAACTAGTAGAGACACACCTTACAAGACTCAGAATCAGAAATAATTGTTGTGAAATGAAATACAGGAGACAGGAGCTTCCTAAGAAAGATATTGGAGTAATAGATGTGTCAAATGATTTGGGGAGATGGGAACTTGTAGGAAAAGGATCAGAGCACTATAGGGATTTTAAAGCTGGTCAGATTCTTCTGCTGGAGACCCAGCAACCCCATTTCACAGAGGGAAAACTGGGACCAGTGAAGGGAAGAGATGTGAGTAAGGAGGTGCAGCTGGGATTAGTACCCAGAATCTCAACATCGCAAACCCAACACAATGCGATGCTGTGAACTCTGTCCAACATTCTTGGCGTTTTTTATTTTTATGCCACTGCCCCAATATTTTCTTATTGGAAGGGTTGGATATGACCCTGTTTCTGCCCTTGTCTCAACTTCTCCCTTTTGATTGAGTTTCCCAGAGGCAGCACCTTTATCTGCCCACTATTTGGAGGAAAGCTATGCCAGTGGTAGAGGCCCAGAAAAATGGTGCCACCACCACAGACTCATCTACTTCTAAGAAGCATCATTTGTTCAGTTGAGTCCATCAAATGTTCATGTCAGTTCCCTGTGTATGTACCAGAGATAATTTAGATGCTGGTTCTATCTCTCACCAATAATTGTCCAAGACAAGGCAAGAGAAATACAAGACAGAACAAGGTACAAAGTGCTATGGAATCATGGGGGAGAGAGTTTAATTCTGGAGAAGTATGTCAGGGAGGGTTTCCTAGAGGAGGTGATATCTGGGTGAGGCTTCTAAGAATGAGTAGCATTTGGATATGGGAAATGTAGGCAAGGGAATTCCAGGCAGAGGGAACCGTGTAAGCAGAGACATAGAAGCAGGAACATGTGGGGTGTCACTTGGGCAATAGTGAGTAGTCAGTCTGGTTTGAGTGGATTATGAGTAGAAGAACGTTTGGGAGGGCATGAAATGGTGGGTAAAGGTAGAAACATAGGCTGTGGCCCATCAAGAAGAGTTTTGAATGCCAGACTAAGGTGAATGGAACTTTTATGTTGTAGGCAATAGGGAGTCTGAGCAAGGAAATGACCTAATTATTTCTGCATTTTATAAAGATTGCTCGGTACATAGTTGTGAATGAGTAAATAACACTGGAGTAGTGGAAGAGTATTAAGCCATTCTAAGAGTGGACTCTGCATGACTCCCAGGCCTCTGGCTTTGGGCCACTTGGTGAGTGGTGGCAGCCCCTTCCCAGTGAGGGCTAATACTGTAGGAAAGAGAAAGCGGTATTTTGGGGAGAAAATATGAGCTCAGCATTAGCACAAATGTGAAGTGCAGGACAAGGGTCTGGGCTGGAGGCATAGATTTGGGAGTCATTAGTGCTTAGCTACTAACTGAAAGGGTTGGCAGTTCAGACCCACCTAGTGGCTCCGAGGGAGAAAGACCTAGCAATCTGCTCCTGTAAAGATTACAGCCTAGAAAACCCTGTGGGACAGTTCTACTCTGTCACGTGGGGTCGTTATGAGTTGGAATCTATGTGACGGCACCTAACAACAGCAACAGTGCTTAGTGAAGATCTGAAACAAAACCCTCAGTCATCCTTGATCCTCTCTTTCATCACTGCTCCATACAACCCATCAGCAAGGTATATGTGGAATCTGACCACTTCTCACCACCTCCGCTGCTACCACTCTGGCGCAAGATACCCTGGTCTCTCAACTGGATTATCGCAGGAGCCTCTCACCCATTTTCCTGGCTTCTGCATCAACACAGCAGCCAGTGATCCTACTAAAACTAAGTCTAATTATGTCCCTTCTCTGCTCAAATCTCCATTTAAGTCCCCATTTCCCTAACAGTAAATGCTGAAATCCTTATAGTGGCACACAAGGCCTTATAGGACCTGGCTCCCTTAAACTCCTGACCTCATCTCATGCTCTCCCCCTCTCTCTGCTCCAGCCACACCACCTCTTTGCTGGCCGTTGAACCCTCTAGGCACACTCTTGCTTTGGGTCTTTGCACCTCTGTCTCCTCTGCTAGAATAATTTCCCCCAGCCATCCTCATGGCTGACATTTCACTTCCTGCAGGTCTTTATTTAAATGTCATATTCTTAGTGAAGCCTTCCCTGGCACCATAACTAGAATTGCAGTCCCCACTCGACACTTCCTATCCCTGCTCCCTGCTTTATTAGTCTGAGTATCACTCATCACCAACTAACACACTGCATTTTTTATTTTTTGCTTATTGTTTGTCTTGCCCCATGATGTAAACTCCACGATTGTCCATTGCTGTATCTCTACTGTCCAGAACAGTGCCTGGCACATAGTTGTTGTTAGGTACTGTCGAGTTGGTTCCGACTCATAGCGACCCTATTTACAGCACAACCAAACACTTGCCGGTCCTGCGCCATCCTCACAATCATTGTTATGTTTGAGCGCATTGTTGCAGTCACTGTGTCAGTCCATCTCGTTGAGGGTCTTCCTCTTTTTTGCTGACCGTCTACTAAGCATGATGTCCATCTCCAGGGACTGATTGATCCCTCCTGATAACATGTCCGAAGTATG